TACCAAGCCTTGACAAATATCAGAAATTGAACAAATATCTGTATTTTCTAATGTTATTCAATATAGACGGTTAAAATTGGGGTCTGAAATTTTTAGATCTACATTTTCAGCTCGCCACATCAAATCCTCAAGAATTCTGGCAAGATTTGTTGCTGCAGAGGATGAAACAGTAGATTCATATCCTGGTCAAGTTCAATTCTACTTTGACCACACTATCTACCTTCTTTTAGGCGTACAAACATATTATCTCGTATTTGTAAGATGGTATGAACCTGCTGATGATTATGAAATAAGATTTCACATAAAAATTAAAGGTGATGATGATTCTAGTTATAATATAGAGTTGTGGGGTCAAGAATTCTGTGAGTTAAGCAGGGATTGTATAATTCTTATACATCAAATATATTCCTGATTTATAGCAGGTACATATACTATCGCTTCCAAAACAAGATTTTCATTATTGGTATTAATATAAATATTAGAAATAAATAATATCGATATCAATATCAGGATTTGAACCCTTTAAATAAATTAGTGGCACAACCAAAATTCAGCAGATCGGCCAAAATTCTGGGTTGGAATTGATGAATTTTGCTATAACTTCAATATGTTCTGACCCTAAATTTTGGCTAGTCTGCTGAATTTTGTCTACACTATTAGTCTATTCTGATAATTTTTACATTTACTAGTATATACATATAGGGTTAGAGTTAGTTTCAGGAATATATTTTTAATAAATTGTCACTCAGTGTGATGTTGGCTAAATAGTACGTATGTACTATGACAGTAAGTAACGGTAGACCAGAGCTACAAAATTCAGATATGTTATAATTAATTCAGATATCAGAGAATTTTTAATGAAAAATTTCTGATATTAAGTGTATAATTATAGTTCAATCATCATAATTAATATCGTGTTTTTTTGATAAAAATTCCTGATATTAAGTGTATAAAATATAGTATGACATGAAAATATATATAATTGCTCAAAAAAATAAATCGTAAAATTAATTATATTGATGTAATTAAAAATATTATTTATTTCGTCAATTTATTTTTTTGCTATTTCGCCTATACCAGCAATATGTAATTTCTTTAAAATGTTGGGTTCCCGATATTAATATAGCATGACATGAAAATATATGTATTTTCTCTAAAATTTATTTCGTAATTCTTTTTTCGCTATTTCGACTATACTAGCAATATGTAATTTTTTTAAAATATTGGGTTTCTGATATTAATATAGCATGATATAAAAGTATATGTATTTTTTTTAAATTTTATTTTGTAATTCTTTTTTCATTGTTTTGACTATACCAGCAATACGTAATTTTTTAAAATGTTGGGTTCCCGATATTAATATAGCATAACATGAAAATATATATATTTTCTCTAAAATTTATTTCGTAATTCTTTTTTTGCTATTTCGACTATACTAGCAATACATAATTTTTTTAAAATTTTAGGTTCCTGATATTAATATAGCATGACATGAAAATACATGTATTTTCTCTAAAATTTATTTCGTAATTCTTTTTTCGCTGTTTCAACTATACTAGCAATACGTAATTTTTTAAAAAGTTATAAATATAAAAAAGATAAGTTTCTTCTTTTTTTTATTTTTTTCAAACTTTCGTTTTCAAAATAGATAGAGACATTGTAGTCTTATATAAAAGACAGCTAGGAAAAAAGGGCGCACTATAGCCCAAACAAGTGGCAGCAAGAGAAGATGTTTTTTCTCATTATCATCAAGAGGTAATATACATTAGTTTAAAAAAAATTATATTTTAACTAAACAATGCCTCATAATATATATATTACAAGGTATTGTTTAGTTAAAATATAATTTTTTTTAGCTAGTGATATATCGATATCAAGAAGCTTGTATTATAATTTTATATATTGTTAAGCCAGACTATTTGCATATAAATATATATAGAAAGAAAACGATTACCTCTAGTTTCACTTATTATCATTAGTAGTGATAGTGAGGGTAGTGATAGTAAAAACAGTGGTAGTGAAAACAGTTCTAGTGGTGAAAGTATCGATATAAGCAGCGATAATGAACATTTAAAAGCACTTAGAGTATTTAGATATTTGGATATAAGTATCAGGTCCTAATAGAAATATTAAAAATATAAAAATTTTTCATATTTTTGATATTTCTATCAGGACCTGATACTTATAGCTGATTTTTTCTGTTTTTTTGGCTATTTTATTTTATACATAAAATATCTGAATTATTATTATTATTATTATTATATTATACTGATATCTTTTGGATTATTGATGGTCTAGATGAACAAAATAGACCAGACCCTGTGAAAAAATGGTTCAAATTTGAAAAACGGTTTCTTCAGAGATCGTTTCCAAAAATTAAGAATGGTATTGCAAAATACTATGTCGATGATGACCAAATACTTCATATTATCAAAGAAAGACATCAATATCAACATGAGAAGTATTTGAAAAAAAAAAGTTTGGTAAGATATAATCACGCTAAAAAAAAGATGAGATGTAATACGTAATTGTCACAGATATATTGTTAATACTATTACATGTATATATAATTATCAGCATTTTATATCTCATTATTATTATTAATAAATATTAGTATTTTATATCTTCATTATTATTTATTATTATTATTAATTTATTTTATTTTATTATTATTTTTATTATTATTTTTATTATTATTTTTATTATTATTTTGGTAATTTTAATTTTTATATGATGCAGGAAGTCTTAACTCTCTGATATAATAGATGATCTTTAAAATCTATTAACTTCTTAAAAAATTAAAAATTTAAAAAACTAATCAGTAATTTTGTTTTTTAAAACAAGCTCTACAAAACTACCAGTCAGATTTTAAAAATATGATCTCTATAAAGAGTTAATAACTTTTAAAGTTGAATTATTTTTATATTAAAAAATAAAAATTGAAATATATATGATTTTTAATTTGAACCAATCAAAAACTTAGATTTTTATTATTAAAATTTTTTTGACCAATCAAAATTTAGCTTGAAAAAATAAAATTTTTTAAAAAAATTTTTAATTTGAATTGTATTATCTATTCTAGCAATCTGATTGGCTAATTTAGATTACACTACATATAGAAAATTAAAACAATGGCTAGTTAAGACTTCCTGCACCATATTTTATTTATTTAGAAAAAAAAAAAAGAAATAATAGCTTTACTCATATGTTGAAAACAAAAAGCCACTTCTTATATGAGAACTTACCAAAAGAAGTTTCAAAAAGATGAGCAATCGCAGATTTAAAAGGTGTATTAAAAGATCGGTGATATCACAGTGATGAAGTATCTGAAATTGATACCGAAAAAGCCAATAGGAAGCATCTCACTAGTAACCGTATCGGTGACGATCACAAAGATCGAGTTATCAAAGTCTTGGATAAAAGCTAGCGCTCCTAGCAGGTAAAACCTAGATATATAATTAATAATTATAATTTTCTGCCCAATAATAAAATTATTAGGCAGATTAATCCTATTAAGCTGTAAGATAACTATTAGGATTATGCTTACAAGTATTACCAAAGAAAATGAGGCTTTGGGCTTCCAATTTTATCGTTTATTATTACCTGATAGACATACACATATTGTTTCTAATAAATATTTAAATGATAAAATAAAAAGCCTAAAGTCTTCTTTTTTCTTTGGAAATGCTCACATAATAATAATATTATTATTATTCTTCTTCTTCTTTTTCTTATTAATTTATTTTTTTTAATAATAATAATATTATTATTATTATTATTATTATTTTTAATAATAATAATAATAATTTTTTTCAATTTACCTCCAGTTAAAAGAAATTTTGTGGTCAGCCGAGGAATTTTTGTCCGTAAAAAAAAAATGCTCCAGATATCGCTAGAGGAATGCCCCGGGTTTAATAGATAGAACTTCATTACCACTTCCTGATTTATCGGCCTGACTCATATCCCAATCTACTGATATCGATACAGGCAGGACCAATAGCAATAATGAAAACTCTGATGATCCTGCTGACTCTCTTGATAATGATAATCTTGATAATCTTGATGAAGAATACGAACCTATTGCCAGGCCTAGTAACTTCCCAAATAAGTATATCATACACGGTCTTGCACAAAAAGAGTTTCTAGTTTATCCACAAGTATAGCATTGTTTCTTATCTTCCTAATAGTCATTTTACTGACAAGCTATTACCTAACATTACATAGTAGTTAGGGTTAGCATTTTTGTTAGCCATGAGTACATATATTATTAGTAAATTATTACTTTGTAATGTTAGATAAATGGCCTGTCAATGTAATAACTATTGGGAAATTAGATGTAATTAGAAAAGGCAACGGCTGGCTATTTTAGGCTTAGCCGATCGGCTAAGCCTAAAATAGCTAGCCATTGCCTTTTCTAGATATAATCTAACTAAAGATCATATTAAATTATTAAATTTGAATTTGACAAAAAGCACTTGCCCAACCAACAATCTTTGAAACATTTAATAAAATTATTAAAAAAACTAATAAAAAAAAGCAAAAGAAAGTTGGTAAAGAAAAAGCCGAAGTTGATAAAGAAAAGCAAAAGGAAGTTAGCGAAGAAGGAGCCAAAGTTGATAAAGAAAAGCAAAAGGAAGTTGGCGAAGAAGGAGCTGAAATTAATAAAGGAAAGCAGAAGGAAATTGTTGGTATGTATCATAAAATAGTAATAGATACTAGCTATATAAAGTATTTTTATTTAGTATTTGTATACTTTTTTGGTTTAGAATCTTATAGGAATCCTTCTTTAATATCAGAAAGAGAAACTTTTAGAGTTCCTAGTCGTCAAGAGTCCAATATTAGCGCATCTGATGTTAACTATCAAGATCCTAATATTGATGATACTGAAATTATAGAGACTTTTGCAAATACCAAAATCTTTCTACAACGTTTATTAGAATCAGAAGAACCAGAAGATCAGAAGGAGGAAGTGAAAACAACTAAAAGTAAAACAAAAAAATGAAAAAAAAACAAAAAAACAAAAAAAATAAAAAAAAAGAACAAACGAAAGAAAAAAAAAAACTTTTTTCTTTTCTTATTTTGATAT